ATTATTCTTTGGCTCCTTCTGCGTTTCTTCTTCTTCTCTCTCTCTCTCTTAGTTTATTGAAGAAATAATTATAATTTAAAGGATACGAATCTTCTAGAGTTTAAGGTGAGACTGTACTGGGTGCAGTTAAGTAGCTTTCAGTGCTCACTGGTAACATTATTTCAAGCGTACAGATTTTGGGCAACTTGAAAAGCAACTGCACTGCGCAGGATCTTTTTCATAATTTAAGTCTCATTTTGAGACGTTAATCATTAATTTAAGAAATGTTTTTTCTTACCAGAGTTAATCACGACATTTTAATATTTGCTAACATTAAATAATACACGTTTTCATTAAAATAATCAGTGTTTTTTTCTTCACGTGAATCATGGCAAGTATAAAAAATAAAAATAAAAAGATGAAAATATCTTTATAGAATTACTTTTCGAATAGTTTGATTCCTTTTATTTATATATATATATATATATATATATATATATATATATATATATATATATATATATAATAGAGTGATTAAATTACTCTTATAATAATTTTAAAAGAGTGATTAAATAGCATTTTAAAGAGTAAGTCACAATTTTTTTTTCATATATGTATTTTTTTATAAATCCACTCAGTACAATAATAGTTGTATTTATCTAATTTCTTAATTTATAAAATTGTTTGTAAGATGAGTATTATAATTTCATAATATCTCTAATTAAATTAATTTTTTATATAATTCTTTTATTTACCAATATTTTTTATTACATTCTTTTATTCCACTTCCTCAAATAAAAAATAAATGATTTAATATTAATTTGATAATGAGTGTTTAGTTTATTATTATTAATAATTAATAAACTTATTTTTTTAGGATTCTTCCAAAATTTTATAATTTATATTAATATATATGATTTTGATCATAAATTCATTATTGTTTTTAAAGTTTTGTTAACTTGTAACATTTATAATTTTAGTTTCCTCAATTCAATTAACATTTTTTTTATATTTATTAATAATATATTATTTGTTCAATTAAAATAAACAAAGAAGATCTTTGACAACTAATACCATTTTAAAACTAATAAGATATGTAATTCAATCTTACTTTATCAAATCAAATGAAAATTATGCTTATATATAATATAATATTATTGTTTCTTCGCTTTAATAAGAAAAGTGTATTATGCCAGCAACTATCGCTATAACTATGCATAAAGGATACTGAAAGAATAAAGGGGGAAATTATTTGGAAATGAGAAGGCATAATTGATTTTTTTTTCTCCATTCTCTTAAAAGTGATTCCTTTTTTTTATCTACCAATAGAATTATGCACACACAAAAAATTAAAGTATCTACACTTAAAAGCATGTAAAGGTGAAATGGCTATGTACTGGTGGTTTTACATATTATCCAAAATCATTTTTAATGTAACTTTTAAAATAGATATTGCAAGGTTTACAAATTTATCATATAAGATATTTTCTTGTTAAAGGAAAATGTAAAACACTTTTAAAAACAAATTTATGACTACTTGATAATATCAAAACTTTTATAGTAATGATTATATTTTAATCTATTTCTAAAAGTACTTTATGTGAGTTTTCTTCTATATTAATCATACTTCTTAATAATGTTCATGGAAAGGAAATTTATAGCTTAGTAGTTAATATTAAAGAAATATGTGTTAAAATATTCTTAAATTAAGTATTTGTGTTTTTTAATAATTAATTTATAGGTCGAAAAATCTTACTTAAGAGTTAAGATTTAATATATATTATGTATTTTAAGATAAAATTATCTTAAAATTGATCTTAAAATGTAAAATGAACAATAACTCGTTATTATAATTAATTATGAATTGAGATCTAAATATTAATATAATTTATCAAAAATTCTTATATGACTTAGGAATTAAAATTAATAATGATTTATAAAAATTAATCCTATAACTAATATATTTGAAAAGAAAAATTGAAAATTTATTAATTTATCTATAGATTTATTTATTGTGTATATGTAATTTTTTTCCATACTTTCTTTTTTATCTTTTCTTTCTACACATTTACTATTGTTTCGATATGTTTATCTCAAGTCTTTTATTTTTTTCTCTCTTCTAATTAAAATTACTATATTAAAATTTAATAAAATTGTGTTAATATAATTTTTTTAAAATTAATATTAAATTTTAAAAATAATTATTTAAAATTATGATAACAGAAAATAATTTTATTTATTATGATAATAAATAATTTTATTTACTATGACATACATACTTAATTTTAAATTATTTTATTATAATAAATCAATTACTCCTCTACTTCAAAAAATATAAAATATTTACAAGTTATTATATTTTTATTTATTAATTTAATCTAGTTAAAATTAGATTAAGTTATGATGATTAATATAAGGTAATTTTTTAAAAATATTTATTAAAAAGTTAATTTAAAATAAATATTTAATTTTTTAATAATTATATCATAATAATTTATAATACCTCAAATTTATAATATATCTTTTTTTAAAATATGATATATTAAATTATAATATTTTGAATAACTTAAATATTTTTATTTGTTAGAAATAATAAAAGACTCATTTTATTAAATTTAATACTAAAAGAATAAGATGGGTGATAGAAGAAAAAGAAGAAGAAGAGATAAATAAAGAAATAGAAAAAATAAAAAATATACAAGAAAAAAGAGAGGAAAATAAGTATATAATGTTTGGGAAATTTATTTTCCATATTGAATTTTGGATATGAATAATAAATAAGTATAATTTGATAAGTAAACTTATAAAAATTGTATTTAAGTAATTTTTTAAAAATATATTATTTATGAGGTTGATTCTAATTATAAACCATATTTTCTTTAATTCTCTAACAAAATATCAAACTCTAAAATAAATAATGTCTTAAATATAATAATTAATATTAATAAAATTATCTTAGGTATTTAAGGTTAGAACATTAGTATAATCTATAGAGAATATAAACCCGTTAAAACTTGTTTTTTATATACGATGAATATATCTACTTATTAAATATTTCATTAAATTACGACTGTGATGTAGTTAAATTTAGACTCTAAAATAAATAATATTTTAAATATATATTAATTGGTTATAACAATATTATAAAAAAAAATTAGAAATTGAGATGGAAAGAAAGTCTATAATATAATTATTTAACTTTGAAAACTAAGTTCTATGGGTTTTAGTTAAGGAGAATATTTCCCAGGTCTTGAAGGACAGAAAAGTTGGGGAGGTGTGATGATGGAGTGAAGATGATTTTGGCATCACAAACTCGTTATGCACGTCTTCCACGTTTGGACGAAAAGCAAGCAAATATTCCGAATTCATTTTCAAAACAAAAGCGCTGATGGGTCAAATTACTATTTGAAGTTATGATTTGGGTCCATTCTAAGCAATCATGGGCCTGTCTATTCAATCCACCACTTATTTGGTTCAAGCAACACAATTCTGCATGTTCCATATTTTTTTTTATAAAATATTTTACCTTCTTTGATGTTCAAAAAATAATATAATAAATTATTAAATATATTTTTTCCTGTCAAATATTAGAATCATATTAATTAAGAAAATTAATTAAAAATACTAAATTAAAAATAAAACTAGCTTCTAGTCAATGGTTGAGTTTAATTTTCTTACATTATCAATACATTTCAAATAATTTTTAAACAGTTATGATATATGGTAAAAACCTGTTTTGTATGCACCGCATGGATTATTTAGATTCGGAAATGTATGGAAGAAATAAATAGATAAATAAGTGAGAGGTAGAATAGAGACACAGGATTGTGAAAACTATTATAAAAAATGATGTAATAGCATCTTTTATTAATATAATAACAAATAAAAGATAAAAAAAAGAAAAAGAATATATTAATCTAATAGTATATATAGAGAAAGAATAACAAAGAATGGACCTCCAAGAAAAGGACTCACATATTGGGTCCAATCCAATCTTATTAGGCTCAACAAAATAAATAGGTGAAAGAGAAGGGAGGGCAGAAAAAACAAAAGAAAGAGGAAAACTAATCCATATACTGAAAATATATTAGTGTTTGCCTTAAAATCTATTTATTTTAGGGGAAAATATTATTGAACCTCCCTAATTTTTATCTATTTTTTAAATAGACGATTTAAACTTTAGTTTGTCTTAATTAATCCTCAAACCCTATTAACACATTGGTTTTGTTATAATTAACCCTCAATTTGTACTATTTCTGTAAATAGACACCTAAAATTTTAATATTATCTTAATTAATTTGAATAAATTTCAATCTTTTATAAATATTTTTTTCTAACATATTCGAGTTATATATTTATATTTAATAATTCATTACCTTAATGATGTAATAGCATCTTATATTAAAAACAAAAAGTTATTCGAGTTACTTTAATAATTCATTTTTTTTGTACAATTAATTTTTTATATATTAAATGTGATAAAAATAATTTTAAAAAATTAAGAGATGTATTTGATTTTTTAACCCTAAATTTTATTAGGTTCCAATGGTTTTAAATAATTATATTATATATTTTCCATAATTTTTAAAATCATATTATATATATATATATATATATATATATATATATATATTTACAAGATCTTACATTAAAGAAGTAAAAATTTCTTACACGGATAATGAGTTGTTCATTTAAAATAAAATTAAAAAAATCAATTTAAAGTTCAATTAAGATAAAATTAGATTTCATACTTATAATAAATCTAAAATTCATTTAAGATAAAAATAAAATAAAAACAGACATGTCTACATATCTTAGTTTATATTTTATATTGAACAGGAGATGATGTTTTATATTTGGAACTGATATAAATGATGATATCCATTGGAGTGATTACACTTAACTCAGAAGTATAGTTTGCAAGGAAAATAATTGATGAAGAGTGTTACGCATTCGATCATCATTCGCTGAGACTTGATTAACTAGGTTCAGAGATTAGGTGCAAAGGCGAAGCCACGCACCATCTGCAGGACACTCAATTTTGGTGCAATTGTAAGATACTATTCTGAAATAGGAAAATAATAAGCCAGAGAAGATCTGTCATGACAATGATGCAAAATTGGAGGTTACCATCTGTTCAAAATTGCACATCAAATTAATATCACCATGTTTTTCTTTTTCTTCATCTTTATCATTGTTGGATGATAGTAGCTCCTCCAAAACACTACCCCTTTGAGGTCCAGAACTTATTACAGTAATGAACAAAATGCCATTGTCATTTTTCATTCTTATTCTTAAATTCGCCCATTATTTCACTGCTTTGGCTGTTTCTTTATTAAAAGAAGCAAATCAATGAAAAATCATAATTCATGCGTCACAAATAATGAGTACACATAATTATAAAATGAATATAATAATAAAACCATCGAAATCTCGATCTAAGGCCCTGTTTGGTGGGACCAAACAGAAACAGGGATGCCTCCAGTTCTTGAAGTTCATCAGCAGCATGAGGAAGCCCAACTGACCATGAATCATGGATGGTGGTCCTATAATTACTCGTCCATTTGTTACTGTCACTAACGTCAAGTGGGTCCCATTTACCCTCTTACTCTTCCCACCACCACCTCGTTTCCCTCAATCCCTCCTTCATAGAGATACTAACAAACACCACTCTTTCTCACGTCATCCACTTGCTCCGCAGAAACACACTCTCTCTGCACCACATTCACACAAACATCGTCAGAAACACCGAAAGCAAACACAGGACATACAACACAAAAACAAACCTTCTCTCTCTCTCTCTGTTTCTCCTCACAGAAGCAGAGAATGCAGCGCTTCACCGTCTCCACCGTTCTCCTCTTCCTCGCTCTTCTCACCGTCGCAGGCAATGTTCACCTCTCTCTCACCTTTTTCTTTCTTTTCTTTATTGTATTTGCATAATGTCGCTAACTAAGCTGTGTTGTTCACATTGTTTGTTTCAGATGGAGGTTCCATTGGAGTTAACTACGGTCGCATAGCGAACAACCTTCCCTCCGCGGTGAAGGTGGTTCAGCTCCTCAAATCCCAGGGACTGAGCCGGGTCAAAGTATACGACACCGACCCGGCAGTGCTGCGAGCATTATCCGGATCAGGAATCAAAGTGACGGTTGATCTTCCAAACCAGCAACTATTCGCAGCAGCGAAAGCACCCTCCTTTGCATCATCATGGGTCGAGAGAAACGTTGCCGCTTACTACCCTCACACGCAAATCGAATCCATTGCTGTTGGGAACGAGGTATTTGTGGACACACACAACACCACCAAGTTCCTTGTACCCGCCATGAAAAACATTCACCAAGCGCTCGTAAAACACAACCTCGATTCCGACATTAAGGTTTCCTCCCCCATTGCCCTTTCGGCGCTTGCGAATTCTTACCCGTCATCGGCCGGGTCGTTCCGACCGGAACTCGTTGAACCCGTTTTCAAACCCATGCTGGACTTTCTCCGAGAAACCGGATCATACTTAATGGTAAACGTGTACCCGTTCTTCGCGTACGAGTCCAACGCTGACGTCATCTCTTTGGACTATGCTCTTTTCCGTGACAACCCGGGCGTGGCGGATCCGGGTAACGGGTTGAGATACTATAACCTATTTGACGCCCAAATCGACGCTGTTTTCTCCGCTTTAAGTGCTTTGAAATACGACGACGTTAATATTGTAGTCACCGAAACAGGGTGGCCTTCTAAGGGAGATAGTAATGAGGTGGGTGCAAGTGTAGAGAACGCCGCCGCGTACAACGGAAACCTCGTCCGTAAGATCTTAACCGGTGGTGGGACCCCTCTTCGGCCCAAAGCCGATCTCACCGTCTATCTGTTCGCACTTTTTAATGAGAATCAGAAGACCGGGCCCACTTCCGAGCGGAACTTTGGGCTCTTTTACCCTGACGAGAAAAGAGTTTACAATGTTCCGTTAACGGCGGAGGAGCTCAAGGACTACCACGACCGTCCCTCACCGGTGAGTGGTGGCGGCCAGAGACAGGGCACTCCTGCGCAGGCACCCGTCGTGAGCGGCGGCGTGTCGAAGAGCACCACTGGGAACACGTGGTGCGTTGCGAACCCGGACGCGGAGAAAGTTAAGCTGCAGGCAGCTCTAGATTTTGCTTGCGGCGAGGGAGGTGCTGATTGCGGTCCGATTCAGCACGGTGCCACGTGTTACGATCCTAACACGCTTGTGGCCCACGCTTCGTTTGCGTTCAATAGTTATTATCAGAAGCAAGCGCGGAAGGGCGGTAGCTGCTATTTCGGGGGTACGTCCTACGTGGTCACGCAGGAGCCGAGTGAGTATTCTAAAACTCCCTTTTTACTTTTTACATTATTTTATTAATTATTACTCCATGTCCTGATTGAGTGTAGTTTAGAATAGTGTTACATAGGGTCACTAATATGAGCGGATAGTGCAGTGAACAGGAAAGAGAGGCACGTGATAGGGTTGACAAGGGGGAATCTTTTCTGATAAGGACGTGGCATAACTTTGTTGGGTAGAGTGTACTATTTAGGGGCACTATAATTACGGTACCACAGTGTTATGTTACTTGGTCTAGCAAAATAATGCCTTTTTATCAGCATTTGGTGAACCCTATTCCCGAAGGGACAAGGGTAATGGACGCCAACTAGATGAAATTTTGTACCTGTAAAGATGGTCAATTAGTCAAACATTGGATTCTACTGACGCATCTGATAAATGTTTCCCTGTGGTGTGGGGGCATTTTATAATTGAACTTTATGGGCTTTTTATGTTTAATTTAACTTATCAAAGTTATTTTTGTGCAGGGTATGGGAAGTGCGAGTTTCCTACTGGATACTAGAAAGCTCAAGAAGACTGGCATATTCCTGCATGAGAATATGCATATGTCTGATTTTGCTTTGTGTAAAGTATGTGTCTGGAAGTGAGACTAGGAAGAGGGGCTAAATTACTTGTTGGTTATTAGTTTCAAGAATTTTTTGGGGGGTTCTCATATTATTATGCTAGTTAAATAATGTTGACTTCTTCATCCAGTTGGTGGGAACTGGGAATGGCATATGGGGTAGTTCAATTAATTTAACTTTGGGGACTAGAGTAATTGTATCTAAGTTTTCATTTTGCAGTAGGCTTTATCTTGTGATTCCTGAACATCGTTCCTTCTTCTTAACCTGCTTCAGAAACATCAATGAAAGAAATTATGTAAACTTCCAGCGTTTCCCTTCCAATTTTGTTGTTGTTGTTGTCTATTACCCTCCTTGACTAATCTAATGTTCTTCTCTGATTTGGTGAGGAAGAGTGAGTAATTGCCTAATACTCATATGAGTATAGGGCAGTGTACCTACCATGCAGTATATTTAGCTTTATTTAAACGAGTGGGTGAGTCCTCCACGTGGGACCTAAAGTCACAACTTGCAACCTTTTTCTTCCAAGAAAAGAAGTGAGTAGGGTTTCTGTAAGATAAAAACTAAGTGGTGATCACATGCAGTGTTGCTGAAATTTATATATGAAAAATGATTTCCATAACCAACACCACAAACGCGAACAAAGCAATAATAGCACGGGGGGCTGTACTTTTAACTTAGTAAACAATAATAACATATTGTATGTACAAAAAGGCAACGGTTACATAGGAAGTTAAGATACATTTGAAAATAGGTTATATTGATATTTATGAAAATATCAGTAACTTTTAGCGACCGCTTTGTATCGTTTTCTCGAATTAAAAGAAATGGTGCAGTGATATTAATGTGACCCTTGCGTCTGTCAATGAATTGTTTTATTTGAGGTATTCAGTATTTATGGTTGAAGAGGCAGAAACTATAATGAATAGCTATAATAGCGACACCTGCTTTTGTCAGAAGATGTGCACAAATGAGACCAAAATACCATTAACAAATCACGTAACAAATAAGAATGGCGTAATGTAATTATAGAAGAAGTCTCTTCTAATGTTTAAAGCCATTCTTTTACCATTTATTCATTTATTTTTATTATATTTAGTAAAAAAAATCCTCATATTTTTAAAATTTATGAACGAAATAATTATAAATAAAAAGTTATGTCAGGTGGCGATAAACTGAATAATGTAGTTGTTGCAGTGCCCGTAAAAACGGCTAAGGAGAAAAAGTCAATGGTAAGGGAAGGTTTGAAAATTGGCAGAAAATAAGGTAACAGTAAAGGTTAAAAAGGTAGCAGAGTATGTTTTGCAGCGAATAGTTAATGAATGATTTGCAGGGTTCATTTTCAACAAAAACTGCTAAAAGTAGGTATGAATCTCGATTGCATCAATAGATTATTTCTTTTATTTAAATTAAAGATGAGCATCACCGATCCAATCCATCCACTCAACTCATCAACCATTTTCAATTTAAAAATAGATTTAGTGTAATTTTTTAGGATGCATTTTACATTATAGAACACTTGTTTATTTTAAACTATTTTTTCTTAATTTTTTATTGTACACTTTAATTATAAACAATATTAAAATTGATATATTATATTAAAATTCAAATTGTATTGCACATTAAAAGCAACAAATATTTTACAAGTCACATTTACATGATTAAAGTTATGTTTAAATTAAAAAAAATTCATAAAGCTATAAAGAAACAAAAAAGTATTACAATAATATTAGATAGTTTAAAAATTTATAAATTTAAAATAGTTGCATTGCATTGAATTAAACTAACTATATATTAATTAGTTTCCTTTATTGCTTTAAAAATAGTGTCCTTGACCATTATGAATGAATTAATTATCTTTTACGAAGAGACATAAAAGAATATTAAAATAGATTATTGTACTGGTCCAGAAACCATTTACGAATAATTTGGTATTTTAAATATAACTAGATTTGGATTTAAGCTACAATTTTAATTTTGAACTTGTAAATAAAAAAATATGATTAGGAAAAAGAGATTTCTTAATAAAGTCGATATACACCTTGTATAATAGTATGATTGAAAAAAATAAAAAATAAAAATCAAGGAATGCGTTTGCAGTATTATTTATTAGGTAAGTGAGGGAACAATTTAAAAATGAAAGACATGAAAAGTTTGTCATAAATTACACATGACATTCTCCACATCATGGTATGAATTTGAGAAGCAAAGTGAACTTTCTTTTATATAAGATTTTTCCCAACATAACTTGAACCCATGTGAATAAAGATTCACATACACTTCACCTGTGACATTTTCTTTATGTATGGTTGGATGCATCTATCATAGTTTATTTGTAAAATTATCCCACTTTTTCATACAATTCTATAATGAGAACTGTGCTCCTTATTAGGCAGATTCCAATAGAATTGTTTCCCAATTTAAAATACATGTGTTATTCTTAGAAAAATGATCATCAAAACAAAATGACTTTAAAAATATCCTAGTTTTGAATCAATTAGAAACACAAAGAGCATTACACTAACTAGTGAGATTGGAAGGAACATAGAAAGTGGAGAAGAGAAACAGAGGAGGTACCTCCTGGTGTGTGTCGGGCTATCTTGGAGCTTCAAGCACTGCACCAGCTCTCTGTTACAGAGGTCGGTTTCTCTCTCTACCTGCAACCCCAATTTGTCATTTAGCTTAATGTCACATGCCCTGTTCTTGATCACATGAATCACAGATTCCAATTTCTCAACATTCATTATGGGCATGGTCTTGTGCCATCGTTCTTGCTGAGTCCAATCAGAGTACGTATATTTGCTAAAAAACATCACTTTGGAAACTAACCATTGATATTCAAGATCGCACTATCATTTTGGCAGCAACATCTTCTGGTTTCGGATTCTGTCACTGTCGTGGTAAGATATTTGGGGCTTTTGTAACATCACATTTGTCAACTGTGCATTTTAGACTTTCCTTCGCCCTTTTATGGCGAGTAACTAATGAATTTGCTCCTTTGAATACATTGACATAAACACAACTATACTGTAACGTGTATAGTAATTAGAGACATTTAAAATCTAACATGAATTTCAGTTTTGAATCTTTCTATACTATACTTTTTAAAAACAATTTTATATTCGCACATTATGCATGTTCGTAGCAGGAACTATTAAACTAATAAATAGGAGGAAGCTTGCAAATCGAACTAAGATGGTATACATATGTACCTTGTCGACTTTCTAGCTAGTTATTAAGGTTACTTTCTTCTGACTATTCACTTAATGTAACATTTTTAACCAGGTCGTAGGAAGTGAGAGTAATATTTTTTATTATGTAAAATTATAATATTTAGATTCTTGAAGTTAGAAGCCATCCTACGTAGTTTGTGGAAGTAATTTGAAGGTTGTGTATACGTGTATTTTTGATATATTATTGATATATTATGTGATTATATTTTTTATTTATGTAGTTTATATATATAAAGTAAAAATATTATAAAATATTAAATATTAATAATATTTTAATTATAATTATTTAAATTAAAATAATAACATAATATCTTTTTATCTTTTTCTTAAAATATAGTAAAATATCTTAATATTTAATTTAAATAAAAGATAATAAAGTAATATTTTTAACATTTCTTCTTATTTTAATATTTATTTATTTGAATTTGATATTTTTTCTTTTATTTTGTTTAGAATTTTTCTCTTTTTTTTTATATTTCTTGTTATCTTCCTTTTTTTATGAGATTACATCTTCGTTCAACTTTATTTTCTTCATCAAAGTATTTTTTCCTTTATCAACTTCATCTCCTTTGTTTCTTACAAACTTCATTGTAGATCTTGTTGACTCTTTTATGGATGTTGAAAACGATTTTTTCATCTACATCTTTATTTTCTTTTTTAACATCAAGTTTCTTCAAAAAATATTCTTCATGTTTTTTATTTGATTTTTCTTTTATATCCTCGTTTGTAATCAACTATTCTTTCATCAAATCTAAAGTGAAATTTTTTCCTTTCATGTGAACTTTGAATATTTCCAAGTTATTTGTATATTTAATCACACAAAGTTTATGTTAAAAAGACACCTTATAACTTTTCTCCAATAATTGAGCAACACTTAATAAATTATGATTAATATCAGGAACATATAAAACATCAAAAATCAATTTGATACTCGAATGACGTTTAACTGCAATTGTTCCTGTACCTTTCACATTCATTTGTTCTCCATTACAATTGTTCCCGTACCTTTCACATCCATTTGTTCTCCATTGATTCTCATGTTAGAAATATGTGATTCGTTGAGTTATTTGAAAAGTTCTCGATCATGAGTCATGTGGTTTGTACAACCACTGTCTATAAGCCAACCTGTGGATTTGTTGATTGTAAAACTATTGTTAATTAAGGGGTATTGCAAAACTTAGAACGTGTTCTCATAAGTTATAGAAACCGTTTCAGATAACGTGTTCTCATACGTTGCAGAAGACAGTTTTAGAGAACATGTTCTCACACGTTGCAAAAGACCGAGAACATTACATATAACTTTTCAAAGAACATTACAGACCCACTACCAAGTCTTCCCATAACCGCTACAATCTTTCTCCTATAAATAGAGACCACTTCATACTCTTCAGAAACATACCTCTCTCATATTCTTTTTTCTAATCTTCTTTCTGTTATCCTAGGTAAATTTACTCTTTTGAGAGTTTCTTGTTAGTTTCTAAGATCCTCGGATATTCCAAGAAGATCCTATTGTATCCTGGGGGACTTGCGCAATACACCGCGAATAAATTCTTAAGGGTAGTGCTTATACACACCTCAAGAATAAAGTTTGTTTGTGTCTCTGTCAGCTTTTACAACAATCTTAAGGACTTATGGCTGACAGTATGAATACTAACAACAACTCCACACCGAAAAAGACAAACAACATTTCCGGAACTCAAACTGTCTTT